AGCAGCTGATATGTGATTCAATTAATAAAGAATCAAAGGATGGTAATTTAGTTAATGCCAGTCACCATGAGTTTATGGAAAATATATCCTGTCAGCCTAACTATATCTTTTTATTATGAGGTTACAAGTTTGGTTGATAAAGGTAATAGTGTTGATGTAATACACGTAGACTCCTGTAAGGCATTTGACTTGGTGCCACATGACATGTTGATTAAAAAAACTAAAAAGATTTAAAATTAACATGCCATACATTAAATGGAGTAAAAAGTGACTAACTGTTAGGGCTCAAAATGAAATGGCAAACCAGGAATCATCATCAGATGGATGTTTTTCTAGTGGGATCCCATAGGGATTGGTTCTTGGCTACTGAACATTTTTTCAATGACACAGAAGATAAGATAAAATCATCACTGATAAACTTTGCAGATGACACAAAAAATGGGGGGAGCAGTAAATAAGGAAGAGGACAGGTCACTGATAGAGAGTGATCTGGATTGCTTGGTAAACTGGGCTCAAGCAAACAATATGCATTTTAACATAGCTAAAAGCACATTTATACTTCTTGGAACAAAGAATATAGGTCACACATATACGATGGGGGATTCAATCCAGAGAAGAATTGACTCTGAAAAAGGTTTGCTGGTTGTGATGGATAATCAGCTAGCCATGAGCTTCCGGTACTATGCTGTGCCCAAAAGGGCTAATGAGATTCTTGGATGCATAAACAGGAGATGCTCAAGTAGGAATAGAAAGATTATTTTACTCTGTATTTGGCAAGGTTTGACCATCTCTGGAATACTATGTCCAGTTCTGGTGTCAAGAAGGAGGCTGGTAAATTGGAGAAGGTTCAGAGAAGAGCCATAAGAATGATTAAGGGATTAGAAATCATGCCTTATAGTGTTAGACTCAAGAAGAGCAACCTAGTTAGCTTAAAAAAGCAAAGGGAAATGGGTGCTTTGGTTACAGTCTATAAGTACCTAAATGGGGAACAAATATTTAATAATGGTCTTTTAATCCAGCAGAGAAAAATATAACCCAATCCAATGTCTAGAAGTTGAAGCTAGACAAATTCAGACTGGAAATGAGTTGTAAATTTTTAACAGTGAGAATAATTAACCATTCAAACAACTTACCAAGGCCATAGCGGATTCTCCATCACTGACAATTTTTAAATCAAGATTGGATGCTTTTCTAAAAGATATGCCCTACAAATTATTTTGGAGAAGTTCTATGGCCTGTTTTATACAGGCGATCAGACTAGAAAGATCACAGTGATCCCTTCTGGTCCTGGAATCTATTAATCTGTGAAAGATAAGTGTGTGCTTAAGTATTTTGCTGAATCAGGCCAGAGTGCTCAGCACCTTGCAGGATTGAATCCATAAATGAGTTCTCAGTGTTCTACTGGGAGTTGGCAGGGGGAAAGAGTTGGGAGGGCTTATGGGAGCAGGGTGAAATATTTGTGCTGAGAATCATGTTGTTACGAATTCCAGATGCCCTTCGTATCATCTGAACTTTCACTCACGTGTGTGTGTGAAAATGACTCTGTTTGCTAAGTGCAGGGGAAGGCAATGAACCATTTTACAGAAAAAAATAATAGATGCTGATTGGACCACCACAGGTCCGTGTCAATGACATGTGGAAATTAGCCAGTATAGGATTTTTTTTTGGGGGGGGGGGGTTGCTTTTGATGGGAAAATAGCCATTTCATCAAAATTTCACGTTTTGTGACATGAAAAGGCAAACATGTATACTTCTTGGAACAAAGAATATAGGTTACACATATACGATGGGGGATTCAATCCAGAGAAGAATTGCCTCTGGAAAAGGTTTGCTGGTTGTTTTCACACAAAACAACAAAATGTTTGCTCTAACAAAGATCTTAGCTCTCACGCACTCATTTGCCTCCTAGCTCTGCTATGTCACCTGATGAGAAGTCAAGCTTCATTTATCCATCTCATAAAGTATAGATGATGCCCCAATTGAGCAGCGAGAAAGCAATAAGAACCGGAATAGTCCAAAGTATGTGTTGCAGAAAATGATAGTTGCTAGATAGCATATGGGAAATAAAATTAGCATATTCAGTCATCAGGAAAATAGCAGAAATCAAGTACCAAAGATAAGGGGGTAAAGGTAGTCGTGAGGCAGGGAAAAACATGTGGGATGTCCCACCCAGGCTCCCAAGTTCCCAGCAATTTATGTCCCTCTCCCTCAGCTCCTCTGTTACCCCTGATTCCCCCAAGCCTTTGCACTGCTTCTGAGGGGGTGTGGGAAATATGGTTCTGTATTGTAGTTTAAATGAATTATTACTCAGAGTTCCGTATTAATTTGCCTAGTAAGGAATCTATTTGTCAAAAAGCATTTCTTGAATTTTTGTTGTTGTCTGTATTGTTACAGACATACCTGCTGATGGGTATTGTGAAATAAATTACCAAAAATAATTGAAACTGGTGTGATTATTCTGTGTTATTCTGACAAAGAAAATATGCAGAATTTTAAAATATCGTGCACAGGATTTTTAATTCCCCAGGAATGTTGTGTGATAATGTGCAATAAGTAGCCTGCGACTTTGACCTGGCTCATCATGAACTTACCCAGGAATGTAAAAGTCACCAGTTATCAAAATTAAGTTAACAGGAGGGGAGCATTTCAATTAAGATTTTTTGTTAACTAGAAAATTTCTGTGAGGCCAAATGTTTACATATCGCTGGGGGACACTGATTTACAGTGCACCCCAGTAAAACAGGGAACATTCACAGCACCTGACATTTTATGCTGTAATTTTCCCTGCCTGGAACAGCTGTCAAGAGTCTGCTTTTGGCACCAGAAGTAGTGTGTGGATAAGAAAAAAGTAAATAAAAATATAAACCCAACAGACTTTTCAGCACACTTCGTTATCCAGTCACCAACTGCGGGTCTCCCTATCATCGTGTTTCTGATACAATTACAAGGGCTTTTCCTCCTGTCTTGCTGTTTATAATTCCTTTGCTATGCTCAGTGAATATATATATATACATATATATATATCAACATTCTATTTCTACTGGTTTCCAATTTCCACCTTTCTTTCTCTGTCCAGTGGTATGTCTGCTTCCGTGGTCTGCAATTCTCTTTAGTCTACTGATTCAAAGCCCCATAAATTCAATGACAGACTTTCCATTGACATCAGCAGACACTGGCTTAGGGCTTTGATGTAAGATAGTTTAGAACATGGCTTCTCAACTGGGAGTGGGGGCGAGTCATAACAGAGTTGCAATTACCATCCCTTTCTTTATGACTAGTTGTAAGAGAGTCCCAAAATATTTGTGTGCTGTAACAGGAGGCCAAATTATGGAAAAGGTGCGGCATCACTGGTTTAGCACTTAGCAAACACTTGAACCAGTCAAAAAATGTTCATCTAAATCTTAGTTCAAAGAAAAGTGGCTTTTTGACCAAAGTGAATGTTTTTTGCTGAATAATCACTAAAATAGCACAACAATGCTGTGAAACCAATGTTTTGTGAGATCAGAACATGGCTCATTCATTATTTTAGGGTTTTTTCAGACTCAAGGAGACCATATGGGTTACATTCTATTCTATATAATTTCTTACACTGCTTTCATAACCATAATATCTGAGCACCTTCCAGCGGTGCATTATGCTACAATTACACATTTGTCACATGTGATTCATTCTCTCTCTCCTGCTCTCCCCAAAGGACAATTGTGTGTGCAGTGGACTGTTTTGTTTTCGTAGCACTTTGATTTTGTCTGTGTTGTTATTTTTCTAACACACTGCTGTATGTTTATGTGAGAGAAGGCTGGTTGAAGAAGTCCACCTTGCACTTGGAGCAGAAGGTGGTGAGGTTTGTGATAGTCCTCAGTACTGGTGGGAGTTAATTCCACAGTCTCAAAATGGCACATTCAATTTGTGTGTGGAAGTTTCTCTTCACTACAGTGACAGCTAAAGATTTAGGGCTGGTCAAAAATTTTCCATCAAAATTGTTTTCAGCAGAATATTGAGTTTTTGACTGAACTAAAATGTTCACAATAAGTGTCTGCTTTCCCCCAAAAATGTTAATTAATTCTGGAAAACCAAAAGCTCCAAAATTGACATTTTATTTCAGACATTCTCTGGAATTTTTATCACTTTTCATCCAAAAAAGAAAAAGAAAAGAAAAGAAACCATTTGCATTCAGGTTTTTGCTTTTTTGAACAAAATGTTGACAATTTCCACAGAGAAAAAAAACTTTTTCTAACCTGATTCACTAAAGATGTCATTTAAAAACAATAATTAAATCTTAGCCAAACAATTTGTGCCAAAATTTGATAGCTGGGGAATCCCAGAACTCTGACGATATTCAGTAACCAAGGTTGCCAGGAGCACAGCTGGAATGACCTTCCATGTTCAATACAAAATGTACCCCAAAATGCATCCCATGATTAAACAATAAATAAGAACCTGTTCTTGTGAGGTTTGGAGCACCTCCTACTGTGTGCTGAGTGCTCTCAGCTCCCATGGGAACTGAGGGCACTCGTTACCTGACAGGGTCAGTCCCTAATAGCAGAGAGAGAGAGAGAGAGAGAGAGAAAGAAGTGTAGACAAGGAGAAAATGTATGTGCATGTATATATATATATATAATTATTTGAAAAAACATTTTTAAGCTCTGACACTTCAAGATAGGCAACCTAAATCCATATTTAGGCAGCTAAACAATTCACTTTGTTTTGAGCCCAAGTCTTTGCATTCTCTGCAAAGGGCATTGGATCAGCTCCTATCTGAGGTGCTGGGCAAGCAGCCCCTCTGAATATCAGACAGCTTATTTAGGTACCTAACTATGATTAAAGTGTCTAACTTTGGACCTACAGATCTGAAAATTTTATTTGTATTTAACTAGTAAAATGATACAAATGTTTTTTTTAAAAGTCTGTTTAATAAAACGTAGTTGCCAAAAGTTCACATGAACGTTGCAGAATGAAAAGTGGAACCCTGTGTTTATACGTTGTTATTGTTATTGTTTTAGGTCATGGAACCAAGGGAGTGTTTGAACTTCTTTCAGGATGGCGCAGAACCAGAGAGAACCTTCCATTCAAGGATAGGGTAGCAGATACCTATTCCGATGTCATGGTCTCCTATACAATGACGAGTTCCTTGTATTTCATAGCCTTTGGCATGGGTGCCAGTCCTTTCACCAACATCGAGGCTGTGAAAGTTTTCTGCCAGAACATGTGCATCTCCATCCTGTTGAACTACTTCTATATCTTCTCCTTCTTTGGCTCTTGCTTGGTCTTTGCTGGGCAGTTGGAGCAGAACCGTTACCACAGTATCTTCTGTTGTAAAATCCCTTCAGCAGAATACCTGGAAAGGAAACCTATGTGGTTCCAAACCATGATGAGCGACGGCCATCAGCACACTTCTCATCATGAGACTGACCCCTACCAGAATCACTTCATCCAGCATTTCCTACGAGAGCATTACAATGAATGGATTACTAACATCTACGTCAAGCCATTTGTAGTGATACTGTATCTCATTTATGCCTCTTTCTCCTTTATGGGATGCTTACAGATCAGTGAGGGGGCCAACATCATCAACCTCCTAGCCAGTGAGTCTCCAAGCGTCTCCTATGCCCTCATTCAGCAGAAGTATTTCAGCAACTACAGTCCTGTGATAGGATTCTACATCTATGAACCTCTTGAATATTGGAATGGCACTGTGCAAGAAGACTTAAAAACACTGAGCCATGGTTTCAATACAGTGTCCTGGATTGAACAATACTATCAGTACCTGAGAGTTGGCAACATCAGCACCACCAACAAAAGTGACTTTATCAGCATCCTCCAGAGCTCCTTTTTAAAAAAATCCGAATTCCAGCACTTCAAAAATGACATAATTTTCTCCAAGGCTGGAGACGAGAACAACATCATTGCTTCCCGCATGTATCTGGTGGCCAGGACTAGTGAAAACACACAAAGGGAGGTGGTGGAATTGCTGGAGAAGTTAAGGCCACTATCTCTAATACAGAGCATCAAATTCATCGTGTTCAATCCTACCTTTGTTTTCATGGACCACTATGGTTTATCAGTAACTATGCCTGTCCTGATTTCTGGCTTCGGCATCCTGCTGGTGTTAATACTGACCTTTTTCCTGGTTATTCATCCTTTGGGAAACTTCTGGTTAATTCTCAGTGTCACCTCAATAGAGTTGGGTGTCCTAGGCTTGATGACTTTATGGAATGTAGACATGGATTGTATTTCTATACTGTGCCTTATCTACACTTTGAATTTTGCCATAGATCACTGTGCACCCCTGCTTTACACATTTGTACTAGCAACTGAGCACACCCGAACTCAGTGTATAAAAAACTCCCTCCAAGAGCACGGGACAGCCATTTTGCAAAATGTTACTTCTTTTCTTATTGGGTTGGTCCCCCTTCTCTTTGTGCCTTCAAACTTGACCTTCACACTGTTCAAATGCTTGCTGCTCACCAGCAGTTGCACACTACTGCACTGTTTTGTTATTTTACCCGTCTTCCTAACTTTTTTCCCACCCTCCAAAAAGCACCACAAGAAAAAGAAACGGGCCAAAAGGAAGGAGCGGGAAGAGATTGAATGCATAGAAATTCAGGAGAATCCTGATCATGTAACAGCAGTCTGAAAGGCTTAGAAAAAAATAATACAGATAGCAATATATTACAAAGCGTTGCACAGAGATGCAGGGAAAGTAGAGAAAAGATCTCAGCTGCTTGCGCTGGCCAGGTGTAACAAGGAAAACGAAGACCAAGAAGGGGTATTTCATGACACATCAAGGTGAACTCATTTAAACAAACTAACAAAAGTGAAAATAATCTAAAAAAATGTCTTTGAATTCTCATTCTCCACTAAGGAAGTGTCTATGGGCCTTCAAGTGGTCTTGAATTTAAAACTCTATCTCTAAATATGAATTGTTCAATCTGCCCCGTGTAACACTGAAGTTGGGGAGGGGAAGAGTTATCAAGAAGAAAATAGTGTATGCTAGGATGGTTTGATAAAGTTGCCCTGCAAAAAGCAACAAGGGTTTCAAACGAGAAAAAATAAAGAAGAAATGTAGGGGAGAGTAAAAATGCCATATTTTTCGTATTGCTTTTCTTAAGCGGGTTGGTTAAAGTAAACCTATGCACTTGGGAAGTAGATATTTAAATCAATCTCAGCCAAAGTACTTCCCAACTTGCATATACAATGTGTAACTATATACCACAGTTAAAACATTATCATTAATTCCGATGGTAAAGCTATACTGCCATGTGATACAGGTACTGGATATATGGGTATATGGAAGAGGAAATAAGTGTAGGCCATTTGGAAACTCAAAGCTTGGTTTCTTGAAAACTGACATTTGACCTTTCTCCCAATGTGGTTATCAAGGACCTCATAACTGACGGTTATTAGTATAAATATATTTTGATACCTGTGAATTCTGGAATTCCCCTTCCATTAACAGATCTTGTAAAACTAACCCAGGCCATTACCACTACAATGGTAATTGAAATTACTGCAGTGTTAGCCTCTAGATTCCTAAGTTCTCAGTGTTAACATTAAATGCCAAATATTAATCAAGCAGGAGCTTTAGATGTAACGACAGACCACATACTGTAGACTCAGTGATGTGATCATGCTGTGGTTGAATCAGTTCTGGAGCATGCACTATATTGGCTTCTATATTTGGTTCAAGATCCAAAGGTACCTATTTGCTGGTCTCTGCAATATGCTACAGGACATGGGGTTCTCTACTTCCGTTAGTAAAATGATCAGTAGACTATGCTTTTTACAATCTGCAAAAAAGAATGTTTTAATGTTTGAGTGAGACTGAATGAACTTCTAGCTGTAAAGAGCCAGATCAGCCCCTTGGGGGAGTGTTGATTATTATTATTACTAAATATTTGCGTGTCTGATTGAATGTCTGCAACATCAAGCTTTGTTATGGCTGTTGAAATTTAATAGAAGGTAGTAAATCTGCACTTAATGCATGACACTAGAATTATGCCATAAAGTATTACAGTATGACCTTCCCTGCTTTGTAAACTATACAGCTTAGAAGCTCAAGAAAAAGAACGAAAAGAGACTTAGCCAGTTATTAAGTTAACACTTAAGGCCAAATTCTGAACCCAGTTATGTCATGTATGTCTCCCATCTCAAACAGTGTTTTAAAAGGGCTTGTTTTATACGCTCTTAAGTGCAATCTAGCTTCACGTCAAGGAGTGATATACGGTGTTGTTGTAGCTGTGTCAGTCCCAGGATATTAGAGAGTCAAGGTGATGAGGTACTATCCTTTATTGGAACCAACTTCTGTTGGTGAGAGTGACAAGCTTAAGAGCTCTGTGTAAGCTTGAAAGCCTGTCTCTCTCACCAACAGAAGTTGGTTCAATAAAAGATATTACCTCATCCACCTTGTCTCATCAATGAGTGACGGCTTCCTGAATATATGGGATCTGTCTGGACAGTATATAGATGAAATGTTTATAGGGAATGTTTGTTATGTCCACTTTAGGATTCCTTTAAAAGATGTCTGAGCTGTTTACCTCTGGAATTGTGATACACTTGCACATATTTGTGTTCATGGTTGGCTTACTCTAGATTTTAGTGTCGATCTGCAAAGAGAGTTACTGATGAGCATGCGTTCACATATTTCTCTAGAAGGCTTTCTACAAGAAGCTTATTCTCTGTTCCCTGATGCCTGTCTTCCCTTCCTGCACTGATTTATGTTTAGAGGGAATCTGGGAAATTCCACTTACCCTCAAAAAGCCATCTGTTCCCTGGTTCTGAAAGTTCATTAACTGCATCTCTGGCCAGGGAATGCAATTTTCCCTTCCCCTCTTTGTTTTTCTGAGGTTTCCATTACCATTTGCTAAACATTGGCCCAACCTCTATATTCTATACATAGGCAAAACTCCCATTAAAACAATAGCAGTTCTTGCCTGCAGCAGGACTTGAGGAATCGTGGGCCTTATGGTACAAAAAAGAGATGGGTCCAAATTGCAAATGAGACCATATGCAAAGTTCAGGAGCACCTAGACCCATGGTTTGGCCCAAGATATAAAGACATTGGGGCCATCTGCACAAGTTGAGATCCAGATAAAAACCTCTACTAAAGTTTGGATGGTGGGAATATTAGGTTTTGGTTTGGACCCATCTTTAATTGCAGGGCATTACTGACTTCAGTCTGTACCTTTAAGATGTGTAGTTTCCAGTCCTTAAAAGAAAATTCACCAGTACCTGGCAGTCTTTCCCCACTAAACCTGAACCTCTAAGGAACAAGTGTGACATTTGGGGGACATTTTTGGATGTTCCCTCCAAAAATGCAGGTCTCTCACTGTGAAAACTGCAAGTGTTCATCCCTTCTGTCAGGAAGAGTGTCCTAATTATTCCCTCCTTTTAAAAAAGGCATTAATTGTATTAAAGTGAACAACATTTTGCATTCTCATAAACATTTCTAGGTACCTTGTGGAAGAGAAAAGGAGAAAACTTTGGAAATTTGTCTTTCCACCATTTAAACATAGAGCCAAATTCTCCAGCGTAGCTAAGATCAGACTTTGGCCTTTAACATTTTGCTGCCTTTATGCAGAACTGTTCGGGAGGTTGTGATGAGGACATTTTTCATTTTGTAATTACCCCTTGCACTTTCCCATTCCAGCTAATCTAATCCTTGATCACTTATGTTTGAACTACGGGATTAACCCTAGGTCCAGAACTGGGTATTTCATAAATTATTACTTGATAGAGTAACAATTTTTAGGGCCAAAATAGGTATGAATGCATGGCATTTTGCATGCATAATTTTATTGATACTAAATAGATTTTCAAGATACTGTTTTCAGGGTTATTATTCTCATCTTTTTATTCCATACTATTTCTCTTTAGGAAATTACCCACCAACCGTTTATGCTTATCCGGGTTTATATGTGCATCCCAGACGCTTACATTTTCTTTAGTGGGGAAAAATAGGAATGTATACGCAATACAGTAGTTCAGTATCATTTGATCAGCTATTTTTCCATCTCAGTACCATATTCTGTTCTTAAATTACACAGTGTGACTCAGGTGTAACTCCTAGGGTTGCTAACTTTCCAATCTCTCAAAACTGGACACTACAGCTGTGGTCAAAATTTTCTTCCCCAAATACTTACCAGCATATACATTGTCAAACAGGCACAACATGGACTTGCCAGCCACAGTGGAGATACTAGCAAGAGACAATTACAAATGGGATGGATGAGGGGGGCCATGGGGAGAAGGGAAACTGGTTTTGACTTGCCATTGTTGGCGTACGCTTCAGACCAAACAAACCCTTCCATTTTTAGCAGCACTTGTGTTCCAGGGCAGAGCCCAAGCACCTGGAAGGGGCTCCAGCCCTTCATTTTCCACAATATCCTGCCCTGAAATGCCACTTTGATAGAATGGCTTCACATTGAAAGTTCAGAGGCTTCCTTTAACAATTCCCCCCGCCCCCCCAGCAAAGCAAAACAACTATGAGCTGCTGGGACTAGCAAGGGGAGTTTCCCAGCACATGAGCGGCTGTTACGTTTGCTCTTTCCTTGAACCACCCTCAACCAAAGGCTCAACTCACCAAAAAGAGAAGAGGAAGACCATGTCTCTCCTGCTCTGTCCAGCAGCGGCTCAGAGGCAAAGAGTTTGCAAGGAGTGATGAGGGCAGGAAGCAGGGGGCGGAGCTTTCTGCAGCAGGGGGAGGTTCCCGGAGGTGGGTCTGACCCAGCCCTGGGAGCGGCCCATGTAGGGGGAAAGGATATGTCTTTTCTGCAACCCAGCCAGGACTAACAGCTGGGGTCCCTCCAGCTCTGGGACTAGTGCTCGGGTTTTAAAGGGGCTTTGGGCTGGCTGAGTGTGTGTGTGTGGGGGGTGGGGGGCAACATCAGAATTGTGGTAACCAGACTTCTGGTGTCCAGTCAATACTTCCGACCAGAGACTGTACAGGTCCCCTTAAAATCGGACACCTGGCAACCCTAGTAACTTCATCAACTTCAGTGGAGTTACTCCATATTGAACTAAGATCCCATTGTCTTTAAGGAGGTACAACACAAAATCTGTTTGATATAATCTCTATATATTTCCTGAACTATTCAATTTAGTACATTACTATTAATTATAATATTAGGTTGTTTGGTTTACTGCTTAATTGTTTTTAGGTTATACAGATTCAAAACAGAGCAAGGTCCTGAGTGCTTCTAGTTCCCACTGATGTCCCTGTGGGTACTAAGGCCAACTAAGGTTCAGCCCCTCGTGAGCAAAGCTAGGAAGCAGTGCTAGGAAAAGGCACCACAACATGATGAGAGGGGAAAATTATTCTTCATCAACCCAAAACCAAATGTATGGGAAGAAAGTTAAGGCTCTGACACAAAACAATAAAATATCACTAGGGAGGAAATTCAGAGTTAAGGGAGAACTAGAATATGTGTGAAGCATGTCATGTGACATATAACCTAGGTCCTGCAATGCCATCATATAATGGGAATATGGCCACTTTAAGGCTAAATCCTGATCTATCCCATCTCACCCAGTAAGAGGATTTTGAAGAGAGGAGCTATACAAGCTTTTTGGGAGAACAGAAGCATCTTGTCCTTTCCCCCCAGCTCATCCATCACCCAAAATACCCACACAATTGCCCTAGATAGAGGAACACTTCAGAACAAGGGGTGACAGAGTCCCCCACCCCATGCAGGCTCTCTGCAACCTAGTCTCCCTTTGGAACAGGAACATGTCATTATAGCTCTATCTTGGACTGCACACACTCTTGGAAAGGACAGCCAGCATTTCTCCCTGTATTAAGAAGGGTCCATATGGAATACACATTAAACTGAGTGTGCAGACTAGAAAATGCTGCATTTGTATCCAGCAAATCCCCATTTTAAGCACCATCATCATAAACGCTTTTGGGTGCTGAAAAATAAGTACAAGGTGCTGAGTGTCTGCAACTCCCATTGAAGTTACTGGGAGCGCAGAGCACTTAGCAGCTCACAGGACGCATTCAGCACTTCACAAGGGGGGGGGTCTTTGGGATTTTTTAGGCATGTCCTTCAAGATGTCTTCTATTTCCCACATCAGAGCCCCTATACATCCCACCCCTCCTGACAGAAAACAGGGCTGGCTACAGCTTTTCCCAGAGCCTCTTGGTTCTGAAACTTCAGTCAGTTGGAAGGAGGTTCTGGGAAGCCCTGGGAAAGTCTCCCCTCCCCCCCCAGAGGCTAAGCATACTGTCCCCTGGTGCCCCTGTTCATGATACACACACCCCTTGCCCTTCCTGGAGTAGGAAGCAAAGAACCAAACTCAAGACCCAGATTTACATTCCCCATGGAGCAGCGCACAGTGCTGCCATAGACCACAGTGTCAACCTTATTTTAGTTCCAATGTACAGATCTTCTGCTCTGGCCAACAGTCTAACTGG